AAGGTATATAGAAGCAATAAAATCTATCTTTGAATCTATCACTCACAGAAAAATCTTGGTTAATTTTGTAATGTTTCCTTTTACTGATTTTCTGGTGGATTTTATTTGTTTGTTTTTTGCTGGGACCTTATAATATATACCTTTCTTTTTTTAATTGCCTGCTTTGTTCAAGGTATATTATGTTTTCTACCATCCCATTTGAAGCTCACATCCATTCTGGGGAAGAAGTAATTGTGTAGTGTGAAATCTTCTGGGTGGAGGTCAGCAGCCTTGGTTTTCTTCTTTGAATAAGAGATGTGTCCCTAAGGAATCTAGAATGTGAGTCTAGTCAGTGCACCCAGAAACATTATCTTGGCCACCAACACCCAGCACTGAGCAGGTGCTCTATCCGTATCAGTATAGGTGCATTCCACGGTGATGATGATGGTAAAGGTAATACTAACACTCAGTTGGCATCTGTGTACCTGGAAGTCTCACAGACAGATGTGTCTTAGTATACATGTGTGTCAGCTAGACAATAACACCTTCTAGGCCCTCTCCCATAAGCACAATGATGGCCATAAGTGGTTTTGGGATTCAGATCATACCATGAATTTTATAAAACAGGACACATGCTACAGAAATGCAAACCAACCCTCCCTGTAGCAGAGCTAGCTATACCTTGGTAGTTCTGGGTGCACTTTTCTTGATGGCCACTCCCTTTCTTATCATGAAGTAATCATTGATACTAACAGAGGCTTTTATAGCTTACAAGGTGCTTGGACTTAGGGTCTCTAATTTGAATGGGGTACGGCTCTTGCCTTTAGAATTCATTCTATGGGTGCTTTAGCAAGTATCTCCTAGAGCCATTACCTTGATAATTCTTTTCCCTTGGTCCATGTAAGGATAAGTGAAGCCCTCGTACATACCACTACTTGGTCACTAATAGCATTGCCACACAGAGTAAGTAAGATACTTATTTGAAAACTCATCAAAGGAGGATGTTTGTTTCTACAAGTTCACATGCAAACATCCTTGCATACTTCTCCATTCTCTACACAAAAGCATAAGCCATGTGTCTTTGTCAATACATTAAAGCCACAAAGCAAAACCAAGGGAAGAGAAAGCCAACCCCACTCCTTTAAGGAGTTTGCAAATGTTGTCTTTCTGAATGGTAATCTGTTCAACTACAGTGTGGAAGAGAGAGGAAAGGAAAGCATTGGTTAGTAAAAATTCCTCCAGGGAGGTAACAATGGTTTCTAGGCATATTCTAGTTAAGCTTAGTTTAATTTTTTAATACTTCTGTCATTCAAGAATCAGGAAAAGGGACTGGAAAGATGGCTTCAGTGATCAAGAAAGCTGGCAGTTCTTCCTGAGGACCTGAGTTCAATTACTGGCTCCCACATAATAGTCCACAGCCTTCTGCAATTCCAACTGAGGGGCTTCTAATGCCCTCTCCTCATCTCCATAGGCACCAAGTATGCATGTGATGTAAATACATACATGCTGGAAAATGATTATACACATAAAAAATTAAAAGAACCAGACTGGGGAGATGTCTCTGTTGTGGGTGTTGTGGGATATTTGTACATTGTGTGAAAATATACTGCTTTATTGGTTTAATAAAGAGCTGGATAGCCAATAGCTAGGCAGAAGGTATAGGTGGAACTTCCAGGTAGAGAAAGATGCCAACTTCAAGGCACAGAGGAGATGCCAATGAAACATGGAGGGAGTGGATCATACAGAATGAACGAAAGGAAAAAAGTAATGTGGTAAAACATAGATTAATAAAAGCATGTTAAGTTATAAGAGCTAATGGGACAGGCCTAAGCTAAGGCCAAGATTTCATAATTAATAATAACCCTCTGTGTCATTATATGGGAGCTGGTGGGACAGAAAATGAGTCATTACATGCCTCAGACCTTAGGGTGCTTGCAAAACAATCATCATGATCTGAGTTTGATTCAGTAGCTATGTAAAAAGCCAAGTGTGTGGCATACATTCTTAATCTTAGTGCTAAGGAGGCAGAAACACTCCAATATCTTACTTGCTGACCTGCCTAGCAAAATCAGTGAACACCCTTCTCCCAAATCTGGGCCCTTGCCCAAAGTTGTCTTCAGGGGCTTAGCTTATTTCCTAATAGTGTTAACAGGTGATGTTGAATGAATTACACCCTGACTCCAAGCCCTGCACTCTGCACTTGCAGCATCTCCCTTCATGCCCTGTAGTTACCTTTGCCACCCCACCTCATACTTGAGGAAATCAGAGTTCAGAAAAGTTAATAAGAAGCCATCCACTCACATGAGGTAGGGGGATCCGGCCAGTAACCCTAGTCTCTTCACTGTATCAGAATCTTCACCTGAGTCCAAATTAGCATGTTCCCTAGAGAGTGATGGGTACACATGGATACAAATGTGAGCAGCCTAAGGGACCTCAGGAATTTGAAGCTGCTCTCTCTGCTGTTAGGTGAGGTTTACAAGGCTGTCCCTGACAGTGTCTGGAAGAGGATAAGTTAAGTACCTGTGAAGATGAACACCTACTGTGCATCTGCTTGCTTTCTAAAACCAGTTCTGCCATCAAAGACCATTGAGTGCAAATAGTGAAAATAATAGGCTTAACAATAAACTAATTGATTACTTTCTGTGAATAAAACAAGAGGAAACAAAGGAAAATGGCACTCAGCAAATCTTTTTGTTCATATAACCTGTAGCTATTGAGCATTTTATTATGCACTGGGCATAAAGTGGGAGACAACCTTGTAATGGATGCCTTTAAATAATTGCAGTTCAAATTGACAAGTGCTTCATGGAGTTTGCAAGCAACTCTTCAAGTCTAGAGAAGAACTGGAACAGCTGTCCTGGAAGGGCCTTCAGTGATGTCTCAGAAATGGAATATCTATACTGTCATGAAAGTTAAACAGAGGGTAGAAAAGAGTCCAGTGAGGGAGCACTTTGCCAAGAGGGAAAAATGTGATGCTCAAGGAAGTCACAGAAAGGCAGAAGGAAAATCAAGTCTGAGAAGCATTAATAGAGAACCTGCAGAGGGTAGAGGTGATGGGTAGGACAGCTGTCTGTGCTTGTCATCAGAGACTTCCAGATGTAACTTTGCATATCAAAGGGGCTCATGTCCTTAATAGAATCATTGATGGAGTGAGAGTTCTATCTCACCTCCTCATCATGAAATCTCATCTGACTGCCCAGTGAGCATTTGGAAATACATGGCTGCATCTAGGTTGTACAAGGGCATCTGGGTTGTACAAAAGGCATATCGTGAACCTTTGAGCATTAGCCAAACAGGGCCCAGAAACTGAACTGTCCCTAGATTTGTTGGCCCCCAAAATGAATACATGCCACCCATTAAGTGCTAATAGCAATGGTCTACAGGAAGTATTTATTAGAACAATTCTGGTTTTAACTGGGTTTGCTCACATGTAGGCAACTGAGCAAAGTATACCAGCCACAGGTGTCTGTTCTCTCCTATCAGGCTACCCTAAGTATTGGCTCCTGGCTATGTTAGAGAGCCACACATTTCCTCTCGCCTAAGAATAAGAGGATATTGCTTCCCCTGAATTCTAGCAACAAAAGCCTTTCTCAAGCTCAGCCTAGATTTTAACAACAAAGAAACAGACTCACAGCTTTAGTAGGCACCACTGTATAGAGTGTGGCCATGCCACAGATGGGAAGGAGGGAATAAAGTTACCCTTCACTTTACAGTGCCATGTGTGCCACTGCTACTCTCTTGAGAAATGTTACAGTGGCATAATGTATCAAGACAGTGCTCTTCATTGATGGAAGCAGGTTAATATGTTTTCTTGTGAGTAATGCTATCAGTTTTTGAAATTTTAAAAAAGACACATTTTTTTGAAAACCAGTCTATTACTTTCAGACAGGCTAATAAGTTCAGCCATGAAAACTTTACTCTATATTCAAATGTATGATACTATGTGATAGAGAAGGCTGAGGTAACCGGACAAATATCAGAGTCAGTAGTGTGACCCTTGGGATATTATTATTTCTTAAGTTTAATTTTATTGAAATGCAAACTGCTTGTACTACATTTTCTCTGCCCAAAGCTGTAGCTTGAAGAGCATTCACAAATGTGTGCACTCAGATAAACACACACACACACACACACACACACACACACACACACACACACACACACACACACCACAGTGGGATGTACAGTATACCCCAGAAACTCTTATGTCTCTATCCAAAACTCTCACCCCACCCTGCCCACATATGTGAATCCCTTTCCAGTACTGTAGATAGTGTTTTGCCAGGTCTTAGATACTTTTTGCCAGATACATTGAGATTTCAGCTCTTCATTCTGTTAAACAGACATCATCATTCACATGGTACTGTGGGTTTACCAGCAAGGGGGAATAGTAGGTTGGGAACCTGTAACCATGCAAAGTCCTTGCTAGCAAGTTAGACTACTCTTTTCAGTAGGTGAGCTAGGGAAGAGGAATAGAACAACAGAAACTTTTCTACTAATGAACACAGACTTTCATAGAGTTAGAAAAGGCAAAAGAGAAAGAGGTTGACCTGACTAAATTTAGGTTTAAAAAAAATAAAAGGGAAGAGTTTTGTGTCATCAATGCATTTGCTTGGTTCTTCTCTCCTAAACCTGTCCCAAAGATTCAAGTGACTAAAGCACCAGGTCACTCAGAAACCCTTCCCATTTGGGATTTCCTAATCTACAAGTATCTTCTTTAAGTTAATTGAAACCAAACCACCATTTGACCGACTTTCCAGGAAAACCCCCTGTTTTGTTTGTGAGGATTTGTCTGGGCTGTTTGTCAGTAAGCATCACCATCTCTTTTAGCCACAAGAGGGCTCATCTCTCTTATATGAAGGTGTCTGCCTTTTTGATCACCTTTTGAAGATAGAGTGATAGCTCAAGAAATAAAATGGGAGTTCTTTCTGTCAAATTGCCAACACACGGCGGACAGACAACCACAGGCAGGCTTCATGGTGCCTTTCCTCCTGTCCCCAAGCCTTTTTCTTGCTTTGAAGCTTCAGAAGCAGCTGTCAGAGCTGGATGAGGATGACTTGTGCTATGAGTTCCGGCGAGAGCGCTTCACTGTCCACCGAACCCACCTGTACTTCCTGCACTATGAGTTCGAGCCTGCTACTGACAACACGGATGTTACCCTGGTCGCTCAGCTTTCCATGGACAGGTATGATCAATGATCTCACCCTCCACACAGTCCCCATAACTGATACTCTTTATCCCCTGTAACAACAGAGGATGAGAGATGGTCTCCTGGGCTTGAAATATTTAAGTCCCATTAAAATTAATCTTAGTACCTACCCTCCCTAGTGCTGCACAGAAGGTGTTTCCTCTTTTAGATGCTTGAGCAAGGAGTGAGGCCTTCTGAAGGGGCTTTCACACTGTAAACTCCTTGGCTCTATTACTGCTGTGAAGAGACACCATGATCAAGGCAACTCTTTCAAGAGAAAGCATTTGATTGGGGGCTTGCTTACAGTTTCAAAGGATTAATCTACAATCATCACAGAGGCATTAATGTAGGCACAGGACTGAGGACTTGCATCCTGGTCTGCAGGCACGAGAGACACTAGACTTGGCTTGGGCTTTTGAAACCTCACAGCCCACCCCTAGCAACACACTTCCTTCAACAAGGCCACACCTCCTAATCCTTCTCAAAAAAGTACCCCTCCCTGGTGACTGATCATTCAAATATATGAACTTATGGTTGACATTCTTATTTAACCCACCTTTCCTCACACATGTCTTGATGTAACAGTCCTTCACTGGGCTTTCCCAGTGGCACTGCTATTATGCTGACCCTTTCTCAATTACAGTGTTACAGACTGGTTGTCAACTGATAGGAAACAAATTGAGTCACAATGGGAGCTTTTGAGACAAATTAATACCCAGGCTCCATACCAAACCAATTAAGACAGAGTCTTTGTCTTGACATTGTTTACAGTTTGGAGTGTCTGAGCCAGGATCAGGAATATAGATATCCATAAAAAATTAAGTAATAATGTAACTGCAATAAGGGCTTTGAAGGGACTGGGATTGATCGTACCAGTCAGGTTGAAGAACTTCTTGAGATAATGTCATTGGGGAAAATATTTCTGAGAAAGGGACATCTGTAGATGTAGAGATATAGAAAGCTAGAAAGAAATCTAGACATACCAATTTCTAAGAAAAGAGTTTTCTGGACAGATGAACTGGTGAGTCCAAAGGGCCTATGGTGGGAATGGTGAATCACCTGTATCTGAGTTACAGATGGTTATGAGCTGCCTGATCTGGCCATTGTCAACCAAACTCAGGTCCTTGCAAAAGTAGTGCATACTCTTAATTGCTGAGCCATCCATCTCTCCAGCTGTTACTTATAATTTTGCAATCCTCACTTTCTACAGGAGGTGAATGGATTTGAAGCCCTAAACTCACTGTCCCAGAGATAAGCAGCTTTCCTCTACCTAGCCATTTTACATAGCTGACTCTCACACTGGTTGAACAACTTCCTCTTTAGGTTATACCTACTCCCCAGCGGCTGCCCTTTCCTTGTGCCCTTTGTGCCATATTGCCTCATTTCAAAAGGACTGTTTGTTGGGCTACCTAACATCCCTGTCTGGGATGTGCGTGAAGATACCTTGGGATTGATCTAGGAATGATGTGAGTCAGTGTGCTAAGAGCAGTGCCAGACACACAGTGAGTGTTCCTTAAAGAACATTGTTAGTCATGGGTGGATGAAGAATGTGCAAAACCTGAAGGAACAAGAACCCAGACATGCAGAGGTTCACAAAGCACCATCCAAAAGCATGGACTGAATGGGAGCTTACATCTCATTGATGTCTGGAAATGACACTTACTGAGTGTAACTAATGGAAGTGGGTGCCTTTCTCAAAAAGTAAAGTGAGAGAAATATGGAGGAATACATTCAACATTCACCTCTGATTTACACACACACACAACTGGCCTTAGGAGACAGACACTGTGTTCTCAATGGTTCTGACCTTGAGTTTAACTTTCTGCACCAGTCATCTTGCCTTTCTAAGCCTCAGTTTCCCTATCTGTTGTTACCTGGGAATGATGATATTATTACTGTAATTATCCATAAAGTTATAATGACCATGAGAGTATGCTAGCCTAGTTCATTTTATTGATGTACATTCGAAAGGTCCTGAACTGATACTAGCATGAGTGACCAGAATTTTAATGTGTGTTCTGTGTAGAAGGCATTAAACCTAAGAATAAAGAGCTCTATCTCAAGTCTCATGTACTTCCTCAATCCCCTTCTGATAATTCTGGCATTTCAATCAGTATCTTAGATTTCTATTTTTTCCTATGAAATAGGATTAAAATTCTTATATAGTTCGGTTTAGGGTTGAATGATACAATCTGTGGAAGCTCTTGTTATATATTTGTCAGTCAGGAACCACTGGGTAGACTTGAATACCCTTCTGGAAACTTGTGTATGTGTTTGATTTTTTTCTTGCTGTGATAAAACAGTCTGATCAAAAGCAACTTGGAAAGGGAAAATATTTATTTGGCTTATATTTCCGAGTCACATTTCATCATTAAGAAAGTTGGGGCAGGAACTTAAAAGCAGAAATCATGGATAAATATTCCTTGCTCCTCACTGTCTTACCAATAGGCTCACACTCAGCTACCTTTCTTATACAGCCCAGAATCACCTGTCTAGGAATGGTGCCACCCATGGTCACCTGGGCCATCCCACATTAATTATCAACCAAGAGAATACCTTATAGACATGGCCATAGACCAATCTGATCTATGTAATTCCTCAATTGAGAATCCCTCAAAAGACAGTATGCCATATCTAGTTGATAGCTGAAGCTCACTAGAACATGATAGTAGGCATTTAGAGATAATAGAGAGGGGAAAGAAGACCTGCACTCAGCCCAACCTTACTATTTCTGAGACATGTGGATTCGAGTTAGGTACATGGCCCTTTTCAGCATCACTGTATGCAGTGTGATGATACTTTCAAGTCATGTTCATTGATTATTCTTGGATCCTACAGTATAAGATGATATAAAGTGCTGAAAAAGTAGTGATATAAGAAAATAGTAGTTGCCCTTTCCTGTGTGTGTATGTGTGTGTGTGGGGGGGTATTCATCTCCATGCTTCTTAGGATTTACAAACTGATAGCAGAATTTGTTGGGTTTACAGTGCAGGCCCATGCTTTTGTACACACTTGTTATCAATAGTAATATTGGCCAAACCAATCTCCTGCACCCACTGCCATCAGGAGAATCACACTAGCCTGGGCCACAGTGACCAGGCAGCTCATTTTCTTGAAATCCCTTACATGAAGCTCCAGCTTTAGTTGTGTTAGCCCAAACACTGACCATAGTGTCCTTCCTTTCAAATTACACACAGCCAAGCTTAACAGATACAGGGTAGTACAGAGTAGTTTCTAATGCATGGTGATAAGTACTACCACCTGGACAACACCTAGAGAATATAAATAAATTGTAAAATTCCATGAGAGAACCATGTATCAGGAAGCAATAAAAATTAGTGCATCACCAAAGCCAATGCAGAAATTACTCCAACCACTTCCACCCCATCCTACTCATCCAGTTAGGACACAGCATGTTGACTGGTGCCTCCTGGATTGAATTTTAATTTAAGAAATACTTCAGTATGAGTCAGATGTAGGTCCTATGGGAATGGCATGTTGAATTGGGGAAAATGATCCATGGACTTAGTAACTCTACCTCCAGAATTCCAACCAGAAGCTGTGTCACCACCACCAATGTGGAACCAGCAGCTTTTGCTGCCACCCAGGATTGGGGCAGAAGGTGGGAATGGATGGATTGACAGATGGGGTTGAACAAAGGGGTAGTTTGCTTTCTATTTCTGTAATAAACACCATGACCAAAAGCAAATGGGAAAGAAGAGGGGTTTGTTTAGTTTGTATTTCCCCAGCACAGTCCATCATTGAAGAAAGTCAGGAAGAACCTGAAGCGGAAACCACAAAGGAGTATTGTTTGCTGGTTTTCTCCCCTTGGCTTTCCAGCTACCTTTCTTATACAGCCCAGACACACCTGCTCTGGAGAGGCACCACACACAGTGAACTATGTTTTTCCTTTTAATTGTTAATCAAGAAAATGACCACACAGACTTCCCTAAAGACTATTCTGACAGAGGCAGTTCCTCATTTGACCTTTCACTCTTCTGTGTCAAATTGACAAAAAAAATAATCTACCATAACAGCACATCTTGTCAGTGACAGACATTTGTCCTCTAGTGTCCCTTTGACCAAGATGTTGGAGAAGTAACTGTGGTTGTACACATCATGGGTCTGGTGGGTTTCCTGTTTTTTTTTTTTTCTAAATGTAGAAGAGAAATAACTAGAAATATAGAGTCTTATCCCTAACCCAGACTCCCAGAACCTCTGTAGAGACAGGGCTACAGGAATGTGCTCTGATAAAGTGCCAAGGTGGGCCTTAGGATGCTCATGTTTAAAAGCACCATACCTAATCTGGAGAGGGAAAAGTAATTCCTTTGCCCTGTGACAAGCTTGGTGATCTTTGAGACATATATCATACCATTAAAGTCCCTGGTGATATCTTATGTTTAGAATATGCCAACTGCTACACTTGAAGCCGCTGTGAGGCATCTGCCCACCTCCATGGCATCTTTCCTCCTCTGTCATTCACTTGCCCATTCACTTGTATGACATCTTGTTTGGCTATGTTAAGCTGACTTTACACAGAGCTATTGCTCTCTTGGGAAACCTATTCCCCTGAGGCTTTCCCAAAGTCTCTCTGTCTCTGTCTCTCTCTCTCTCTCCATCTATCTTTCTATCTCTCCATCTGTCTCTCTCTTTCCCTATCTCCCTCAAATTTTGAAACAGGATCTCACTATGCAGCCTTGACTGGCCTGAAACTTGCTCTGTAGACCAGGCTTGCCTTGAACTCATAGAGATATGTTTGCTTTCTGCATCCAGAGTGCTGAGATTAAAAGTGTGTATTACCACATCTAGACCACCATGACCACTATAACAAAATGGAATATTCCAAAGAACTTCCAGATGCCAAAAACTCATTTCCCATGGTGCTAGAGGTTTTGAAGTCCAAGATTGAAGTGTTGGCATATCCAGGATCTTGTGAGAGTTGCTTCCTGGATCTAAATTATTTTCTTCTCACTTAGTCTCTTTGTGGTATAAGGAGC